TTTAAAATTCAAGTAATGAACCTCTTTGGATAACCCCCAAAATGGGATAGATCTAGTAAAAATCTCATTCATTAGATATAGTAGATTAAAGGGGGACACCAAATGATTGTTGAGCCGTATGAGTTAGGAAACTCTCAAGTATGGTTCTAAGAGAAGGAATTAACCTACCTATTCTGACCGGGGATTTCATAGGTTTGAGTGTATCATGACTTTCAAAAATAAATCTATGGGGTTCCACGAGATACGGAGGCTTCTTTAAATTTTTTATTTATTTAAGAATGAGGACAAAGTTCATCAGAACAAACGCAGATAGTCTATTGAATGTTTTTTAATAGAGATAAATCTGTAACTTGTCATAAAAATTAAGACCTTTGAAATGGAACTTTCTAAGAACTCAGTAGCCTCAGCAAGTTCTTCCTTTTGTAACAGTATCTGTCCCATGAGAAGCAGAGCTCTTACATACCCAGGATCCTTGTCAAGAGAAAGTCTGTATTTCATATATTAATGTATGAGATATTACCATAAAAAGAGAAGCCAGTCATATTAAGAAGAAAGGAGTAACCTTAGCAAAGGTATTGCCCTGTCTTTATGTCCATCAGTCAAGACTTTGACAGAAAGCTGTGAAAAGTTCCAAATAAATTAATGAGATATTGGTATGAAGGTCGAAACATTGTAAAGGTAAATGGTTTATTAACATCACTTACAGCTACAAGTTCTTCAGGTGATAGGTTTTGAACGGAGATTTTTCCCTTCTTTGTTGATATAATATCAGTTTCTGCTACTCCAATTTTCTCTCTTTCTTTGTTACTTGGAGCTACTGCAGAAGCTTTTATTTCAGGTAGCCCTAACTTCTCACGAATGTTGGGATGACCGAGACATAATTGCTGCCAATTAAAAGGAAACTGAAGTCAATGAACTGCGAAAAGATGTTGAAGCAAGGTAGTAAAGAAGCTCATAGTTGATTCCAACAGACAAATCTCTGAAAATGAATGCCAAGAATCATGTCAATACTGGTAAGTGGCCCTTATTTAAGGACCATTGTTTGTGACAGCCTCAAAGAAGTGCCGATATCTTCAGTGGATACAGTTGGTTTGACATCTCACTAGCACCATTTAATGTCCAAATGTGCCTCCACTTTCAAGGATATAATTTAGAATGAGTTTGATGACAGTTCTCATTTATTTTATTGAAAACTTCAAATGGATGTTGGAATGTAAATGTCAAACCGCTTCTGTTTTTGATAATTGACACAACAAAGCTGGGATGGATGGCTCCTCAAAGGCTAACCCAGGACAGGACCGACCAGGAGACTGGACGGAATGAAGGCGACAATGGATTGCAGTTCAACATGCATTTGGACCATGTTGTTACACAACAAAATTTCCTCGTCCATGTCCATACTGCTTAGAAGGGATCCTAACTTAAGACAGAAGCCACACAAAGGTAACATTTGACTACAATCTCTCAAATGTACGACAGTTGCAAGGAAAGAACTAATAACACATACCACCACCATCATGCTCTATCCAACATCTTCCACTTTGGCAGTGGCTAGAGTTACTGCCACATCCTGGATGCCAAAAATAAATAAAATTTCTCCAGCAGTAAATTCTAACTTAATAAAGCCTACTTAGCTTGATTCGGATAATGTATTAAATATTTAGCCTCACAATATAGAAAAAAAAAATTATTATTCTCCTCAACTCAAACTTGACAACTTTCTCAATATTTATCTCGCGGGCTATTAATTCTCTAACGACCACGTACCCAAAAAAAAAAAATGAGCGAGTCAGTTTAGGCAGTTTATTCCACAGATGCTTCAAAATCACAGGTGATAGTAGAAGGAATCTGGTTCTATGACGCCTAGCAGTAACTAAACGAGGATTAAATTAGGTTGGCAATGAGAGAGGTAAGCCTGTTTATAATTGCAAGAGCAAATATTTCATCATGCGGGGAGATGTGCAGGAGCAAGATCTGATGATGATTCAGGGAGAGTTCGCATGAGTGCCATAACATTAGAAGCTTCTAAAACTAAAAAATTACAAAAATTGTTTTTTCCCTTGGAAGATCAAAATGTCAATGGATTTCATAGCATCTTTATGTCGGAAAACACAATAACAGTACAGACCTGTATCAGAGTTAGAGAACTATTTGTAAGCCAGTAAACCAAACTTCCCTGCAAAGAATGAAAACAGAAATCAAGTCCAAACTGTGCTACGAAGGTTGGAAAACATGACAGTAATTTGGGGATAGGAACACGCACGTATGCACATGCATGTACACGAAATGAAGGTTACAGATGCCTCAATTCTATTATTTCTGATCATTGCAGGAAGAGGAAGAAACCACAGATCCTGAATGTAAGTGATCGAAATGCCACAATCTAGTATCACAAAATTAAGGGTATACCTTAACATAAAAATGTAAAGATAGAATGTCAACTTACCTGGGGAACATTGAAAGTAATGAACATAATAGGCATTGTCAGCAGTTGCAAATAAATCTTGTAATACTACAATGCAAAAAAAAGGATCCAAATGTTAGCACTACTGAAAATATGTCACAATGGAAAATCATTAATAGAAATCTTAACGTTTTGCTTCTCCTCTCCTAATGCGGAAATCACATTTGACCAAAATATCTTTTCTTAGACAAAAACTTCACATTTATCAGGATGCAGTATTTGTGAACCAAAAGTGAAATGCAATATAGGGAGAAGCTCCGCATCCGTTATGAAACATTTTCGGTATTATGTTCAAACCAAATAAAGATGCTATAACTGTCGAGTGTTCTTGTCATTGACGTCCACTTTCCTGGAGAAGGGTGTGGAATCCCTAATCTGCTAACCAGTGAGTTAGATAGTCTTCTGATGGATGGCTATGTTTATCGTAGATCTTATGAAATCTTCTACCATCAGCTCATAAAGGCTCCAAATGAGGAAGGGACGGCGCAGGGCGGGGACATAGAGAGAGGGAGAGAGGAACCACGTGTATAATTTTTATGAACCCACCTTCGCTAGTGTTCCCACGATGCCAGGCAACCTTTGGAGTGATGATTTTTGAAAAGAAATCTGAAAATTTGTAGAAGAAAAGCTTTAATATACATGCATCAACTAATCCAACAAGAACTAAGATTCAATGCTCTAATGCAGAGGACACAGGCAAGAAAAGAATAAATTAACTACATGTTAGATCACAGATCAGCAGCTTCAGTAACAAAATCTACAGATTTGGTAAGCTCAGACTATGAAATATTGGGTAAGAACACCCCAGAGAAATTCATAACAGGAAAGAGGAAACTCAGAAGGCATCCGGTACGGAGTCAGTATGCAGAGCAGTGATCATGCACTCTGGTAATCAGAATAACCACTTTCAGTTTCACTCATAGATCTAGAGCATGCTTAGCTAAGATTAAAAGTTACTTCTAAGCAACATTTTTCCCTAACATAATTAACGTTTTTCAGAAGTAGGAGTTTCTTTTTAAAAGGTTCAAGAACTTGCTTTTTAAAAAGTCAATCTGTACTTAGTTTCCAAAAAAGTACTTTCAGAGCTTGTTTGGTACAACTCAAAATCAAATTAAAATTGAAAATATAGTCGTTATTGGGTCTCACTCGTCTAATAAAAGTCAACCATAACGGCTAATTTTTCAATTTTAATCCGATTTTAATCTCTACCAAACACACCCTAAATATTTTTTGTATCTTGTAAAAAAGTACTTTCAGAGCTTGTTTGGTACAACTCAAAATCAAATTAAAATTGAAAATATAGTCGTTATTGGGTCTCACTCGTCTAATAAAAGTCAACCATAACGGCTAATTTTTCAATTTTAATCCGATTTTAATCTCTACCGAACATGCCCTAAATATTTTTTGAAGCTTGGCCAAGCGTGCTCTAGTTAGGTAAATTATTGCACAGCAGATTAGAAACGTTCCAATCGAGTATTAATCTATACTTATATAATGTTTGACTGAACGCGGGAAAAATTACTCGAAGATCTAAAAACTTTTATTTCATTCATTCGAATGGAAAAGGAAAAGTTCAACACCGAAGCAACGGGTTTTAAAATTGGAGAAGTGAAAGAGCCTTGGGTCATTGACATGGTGCATGCCACTAGGCTGCCCCATGTCAATAACCCACATCCACCAGTTTTAAGTACCTTAAAAAACCTAAAAGACCATATTGACAGTATAGCATTAGGAAGTAGGAAAACCCAGTTACTCATGCTAATGTATACTCATTAGAAAATCTCCCTGACCACCACAAACGCATCTACCACCACGAAGCTGGAACAATTCCTTAAAATATACAAAAGCTTCTACCTGAACATTAGCGAAATGTAAACCGGCAATCATTAAAGGGAAGATTGGCCCCAAACCACCATGTGGATATTCAGTCAAGTTCTGGAACCATAAAGTTCCTCCCTGTAAAATAAAACCTCGTGGATTATTTGCCAGCAACACAGAAAGAAACTTGAGGATGATGATCAAAATTCTAATTAAAGTAAAAATCATCAAAGCAGCAGAACATAGGAAGATTCTTAATCATAATAGCAATGATTTATGATTTTTCTGATTATCGAAAATTGGAAAAATAGGACAGAAAACACGAAAGAATTCAAAGAGTTAAATACAGTTGGCTTCCTTGGTTGTGGTTGTTATAATCCAAACCTTAAACAGTGTTCCAGTAGATGAATACTGTAAAGGCTCGTCAAGGAAGCAGAAGACATGTGGTTGTTGTATCTCTGAATCAAAACATATTAAAAAGTACCTAAAACCCAAAAAGGACATGTGGTGGTTGTATCTCTGAATCAAAACATATTAAAAAGCACCTAAAACCCAAAAAGGAAATCCAATCCATAACATTTCACAACATGCTAGGCACTCAACCCGGATGCTCAAAGCTAGTCTCCGAACTCTGCAAATAAACTAAATATCAAGAGCCTAAAATGATTAAAATGGTACCAGTTCAAAAGGCATACCATATTGTTATCCAGTGGACAAGGCATGACAAAAGAATTAGTCAGAGCTCATTTTCATATGATCGTTAAGATAGTTTCAACATTCCAAACTGTAATATATCATTTTAAGATATATCTGACAGCTCACAAGTTGTGGACCAAACTGCCAAAGAATACCATATTTTGCACACTCACACGTCACATCGAACTAGTTTGGAAAGAGCAGTTAACATTTTATGAAGATATACTGTACACTCTTAATCATAATATCAAAGTCTATCAGATAATGGGAACTTTTGGCTTCGTATTTTAGCAAATAATTCTCCAATAAAGCCTCGTACCCTGGTGTACGCAACCATCTGGTCTCGATAACTTAATAGACATAAATCGTTGAATTTGAGATTAACAAATGAGTAAAATTGGATTTATCGTTACAGAAAGAACAGAGATGAACCAGCTGGTGCTTCAATGCTGAACATACAGCCTTATTGGGAATTAGTTCCCCCTTGATCTATGCCAGACAATTTGGTTTATAAATATCATATTATTTCATATTGATACTGCTCCAAATAAAAACTTTTTTATAACTTATGATGCCCTTTGTAATCCATCGAGCACCACTACTGATTAGTTTCTGACTGCGATAGACAGGATGAGATGCAGTAATTTACATTTCAATGCTGCACGATGAGATGGATAAAATTGAAAGCATCCTGCATTTCAAGCTTGCAACAAAACAATGGCAACTTACGGTTTTTTAATTTCAACAGCAAGATCTTGAAATGCAATGTTCAAAGTTTTCCAGAAAGGAAGCAACTATACAATTTTAGCTTCTGTTATGATATCAGTGTACGCTAGAGTCTTGGTAGTAAGTGCAAGATTTCATAACCAATACAAGAAGCATCCAGCTGATAAATCTAAGCACCAAAATCGATAATAAAACATAAATTTGTACGAGCAAATTATAAATCAGGTATCTCAATCTCTTACACAATCAAAACCAGAGTGATGCTCCAGAGACATTCTTCGAACGCTCATGATCCACAAGAAAAAGCAAGGGACCTGCGAATTTAAAAAAAAAAATTAAAAACTGTTACAATGATCAGTTTTCAAGGAAGACACACGTAAGAGCTGCAGAAAAATGTTGCTTTCTGATGTCTTCTCAATTTTTCTAGTCTGTAAAGGAAAAAATGTAGAACTGTATTTCTGCAAGTTAGTGCCCAAAACATAAAAGAATAGGAAGAGCTCTTATATAGCCCCAATCTGCATAAAATGCGGCATCTACCATTCACACTGCAGCATTTTAAGCTGTATTACCTAATTATTAACTTAAAAGGCACTAACTTTGTCCCTTGTAATCTCTTCTGCTGTTAAAAATAAAAATAAAAATCACTTGTGTTTCTTTCAGGTGATTGCAAAATAACTTTGTCCCTTGTAATCTCTTCTGCTGTTAAAAATAAAAATAAAAATCACTTGTGTTTCTTTCAGGTGATTGCAAAATAAGAGGATAGTTTTCTTCCTCTAGAGCATCAGTAAAGCAGGACAAAACTTTTAGAATGTTACTCATCGTGCTTAAAATGTCACTTTGGAACCCAAGCAATTAGTGATCATTTTATAAAACTTTAATTCAGAGTCATCATCACTATAGTTCATGAACGTAGAAGTTATTCTCGTAAAAGATAGCCAAAGTAAAAAATGAAAGGATGGAATGCCTCCTCTCCAGCTACTATTGATCTACGATTCTCTAAAGCAGAAGCAGCTATGCTGCGCAAGTTTTTTTTTCTTAAAGTGAACCTTTTGCCTACACACTGTTAGTTTATAAAATCCTTACAGTAGGTATCAACGGGAGTTAGAATATGAGCTGAAATCTTCAAGAACTTGCATGATTACACAGCCCAATATTATTATGTAAGAAGAAAATATATTGCCATCACTGGTAGCATAATCAGTGAAAGAATTAACTATTGTGGAAAATAACATCTCAGCATAACAGAAGAGGAATATAACCTGTACAGCAACTGATGAGAAAAACCAAAAAAATGAAGGACACCTAGCGGCCTGTTTTTCCTTCCAAAAAAGCGTTATTTGGTCTCTGAAACGTTGTCCTGAGAGGGGTGGTGGCAATGGGGGTGGCACTCAAGAAAATTCACAAGAACAGGATATTAAGTTACATTTTGAAGAATCAATTATATTCATTAGAGATTCTAGGATCATGTACATAAAAGAGATAGAGAACATAAATGACTGCGAAAGTAAAACTAACACTTGCTGCCTATAAACTTCTACCCCCCAGAATGCAGTATGGCAGGTATTCAAAAGGTGGGCCCATCCAATGGAAGCATAATGCAGTTAATAATAGAGGAGAAGCATTTCCCTTCTCATTGGTGCCTCTATCCCCTTTCTTATTAGTTCAATAAACGAAAAAGGTGTCCCCTTAGATAAAAGCATTAATCAATCAAAGGAATGTGTAAATGCTTACATTTAGGCAACAGCTCTCCAATCCTCTTCAACTTTTTAAGTTGCAATACAACTATGGGAAACAACGAGAGTCTCATTATCATTGTGGATGACGAAATTACTATCCACCTACAAAAGAAGTTAGTCAATTTTAATATCTAACAATTAGACTATGCTGAACGTCACTCTCCTAGATAAACCAGATAGTCTCACCGTTGATGCGTCAAAAAGAAAAGATAGTTAACAAGAAAATCAAAAGGAAAAGTAGTCTAACAAAAATGCTTAAAATACAAAATAAATGCAAAAGGATTTAGAATAAGTCGAGAGAAAAAAAGGGGTTAGGATTTTCAATTCCCTTCCAATTATACAAACTTCAGAGGTATAACAAACTATACGTGCGGTTGCACATTTTGCAACAACCATGGCATAATGCTAGCTTGTATTCTTTCCAGCAAAAGTAGTGAACTTAAAGAAAAATGATAATAATTTTATATCTAAACCCATACATAAACTCAACATATAAAATGCAACAACACAAACTAAAGAGTAGTGCTTACCAAGGGAAGCCAGTGAAATCGTGATAACCGTCTAGCACTGAAATCAGGGCACGAACCGGAAGAATAGGCTCCCCTGAATCGGAGATATCGGGCTGCGCAGAGAAGGAGCGAGAGAACAACAAATGGGGGTTTCGAAAGTAGAGATTTTGATAACCATGACGGTGATTATGCGATGAGCTGGAGAATAAGGAATTTGAAGGAGAGGAGGATAAATGAGTGTATAAATGGAAGAGTGATGGTGGAAATGGTGGAACGCGACGACGTAGTTTTGTTGCCAAGAGTCTTGCTGGTATCGACATTATTCACTGCCAGAAATTGCAGCGAGTTCTGCCACGAAACGAAGGGCCAAGGTTAAAGAACAAATTCTTGAAATTAAGAATTGGTTTACGGAGAAAATTAAGAGATTTAGGGCTTATGGCTAAAGCCTCATGGCAACGTTTTTCTGCCCAATTTGACACCCATTTTAGGAAATTTGCAAAAACTTCAAACTTGTTGATTTGCCAAGGAATATCAAGAAATAAATAATATTTGAAAGAAAAAAATTCTCACGAATTTTTATTATGATCAAATCAACTAATTGCTTAAAAACGTGTTAGAAAGGAGAAAGCGTAGAAAAAATACATACGAAAACATTATCGAACTATCGTTAATTACAAACAAATACCGCAACACGATTACCCTATAGTTTCTCTTGATTTCTAAAAATAACAAATTTTTAACTACACATTTTATCGACTTTTATTAAAATTTACTAAAATTCTAATTTTATATCCAAACTAAACATGGGCTTAAAAGGCATATGTCACGTAGGCATTTTAGTCCTCAAGCTTTACGTTTTATTTTTGATAATATGTTCAACGTGATGTGGTTGCGTGTCGTATCATGTGAATAGAAGTTTGGAACTCTCACCCTTTCCCGGTGCACCCCGAGCACAAGTAAATTTAGCATTCATGAACGTGATTGTAAGGTTATTCTTCTAGCTACATATTCTGGTTCAATTGCCGTCATCTCCTTTTCAAGAATTGTAACGTGTAGCTTGCTCAGTGAAGTGGTTTATTGCAGAATTGGACAATATTTTTCCTCACTGTTGATTCGATCAAACGGAATTATTTCTTAAGTGGGAAAAAAAGGCATGAATATGTGTTCAATTTTCATAGCATATGGTAGTTGAATTATAACTATCAAAGAATAATGCACCAGCCTTGATAAAATCCAAAGCGTGACAGCGAAAAAAATAATTGCTGCCACACGTGCCAATTATAGCTTTTGTTCAAGTAGGACAGATTTGTAAGAGGGGTTATAATTGGTGATGGCACTATATGCCCAGTAAAATTATTTTAATATTATTATTTTTATTTCCTAACAATTATTTCTAGTGGAAAATTCCCTCCGACTTTCATTCCCTTCACACGACCATGTTTGACAAGTGTTTATAAATAATTTAAATAATAAATAAATAAATATAAGTGATGAATAAATGGATAGGACTTATAAATTATTCATTCTGATGTTTATAGACACGAAATAGATTAATATTAAGATCCGTTTGAGCCTCATTTTTTAAATAAGAATATATTTTGTAATAAATAAATACACACACACACACATATATATATTGAGAATTTGTAATTAAAAATATATTTTTTCGTTTATGTGTAAATTTATTTTATTAAGAGAATATGTAATTGAAAATGAGTTATTAAAAAATAGGACCTAAATATGACCATAGTCTTGCAATTATTGTTGTTGCCTTTGTCCAAATACATGGTTGATGATAGAGAATTTGAAAGGAGTAATAATTGGCGAGGTGTGCGAAAAAGATAGCAAATTGTATTAAAGACGATCAAAGTTCTCGATGGAGATGTGGATATTAGAAGTGACCAAGATGAAGATGTTGATTAAACCCAAAGGAAAGTAAACCTAGAGGTAAAATTATATTTTTATTTGGAAAATTTGCTCTCTTGGTCTTCAAATTTTATTATTTTAGTAGTAGGTTGATCCATTACCATTCACTGTAAATGCAAGATCAAGCACAATCAAAGAAACTATCAGAGTTTTGTTTCTTAACTAGGGTGGGCACGTGTTTGATAGGACTTTTATTTTTGTTTCGTATGAAAGAGATATCTGAAAAAATTATCTTATATCAATTTTTTCTAAAAGATATTGTGAATCTGACAAAACGCTTTTAAAGTATGTTTGGTGCATATTAAAATGAGATAATGCATATGAAAGAAGGAAAAGTTATTGATGTGATGTAAAATATTATTTTATTAAATAATATGTGGTTGAAAATGAGTAGAAGAATGAGAATGAGAAAAATAATATGACTCAAACAAGGGATTAATCAAACATATTTAAAAATAACTTTTTAATCTTAAAATTAATTTTTAACTTTTCAAAAATTTTACCAAACGAGTAACTAAGCTATTAGTTACATACAAGAAGTAAAATAAATCAATCATGCTTAGGGTACATTATTGTTTACAATGTGTCATGTAACATTATTCAATTGGACAATTTTAAAAAACAATTGTTTCATCCACTCACTTGTTGACAACAAATCAACAATCGTGTACAATAATAATGTACAAATAATAAGCAACCGAAAGCCTGATAAACGTGGGCCAAATGTTCTTACGAATCCACCTGTCAGCCTGTCTTGTAGTGAATGACGACTGATGGCCCTTCGTAGCCACCGCCCAAGCCACCCCAACAAGCAGTACTTTTCCCCAATGATTATAGAATGACCCCAAATTTACTTATTTGCCCTCCACAACTTTTCCAATAGATTCATTGCAACGAAGGACAAAGAAAAGCCTATACCAAATGATTTGATCAAAGCTTGAGTTTTGACAAAAATAAGGTCACAATCACATGGCAACTCTCTTCATAATGCCCCCAACGAATTTTTGGAGGTTTTGGACATTTTTTTTTCAAATAAATACAATAATTTTCTGTTTTTTAATTTATTTTCAATGGACGCTCGCTAACTCCTATTAAATCACATCACACATTTCTTGTTATTTTGATTATAGTTGAAAAGTTTATTTAATTTTTAATTCTTTCGTTAAATTCAACTAAATTACACAATAAAAATTCGCTCAATTTACTTCCTAAATATATTATTTATTGTGGGATGAAAGTTCGAGTGTTACAATCAAGATTCGTAGTTAGATTTTTGATACCTTGCCTAGCTGAATAACTGATCAATGATTGAATGGTAAGCTTCCTCGTTTACTTGTTCAGGTCGATACTTACTTCTTATGTGATGCAATTATAATACTTGAAATGTCTAGTGATCGATGGAAATGGTCAAACATATGAATTGAAATAGATTCTTTGTCTCACCATAAGGATTTTCGATTGAATTTACATCTCTGTTGAACTGTCATGTGTCGAGAGATCTTGTGGTGATTACGGCATTGGTCCGTTGGATGACCAATATATTTTATAGAGAATTTGGGGAATCCAAGAAAATGGAAATGAACAAGGGCAATATTGTCATTTAAGTATATGCCAGGAACTCCTTCCTTAGAGAGGAAGAGACAAAAAAGAGTACACATCGGAATTGGGTTTCCCCGTCTTGTCCTTTTCTTTTTCTGTAACGCTGTTTTATTGTAGTCATTGTCACAACCCCAGCATCTGCATAAAAATATATACACAATAGCAAAGGGAATTTTACCCTAAAAACACTCATCCAGAATTATATATATAGAGAGAGAGAGAGAAGGAGATAGAGAGTTCTGAACAGCAAATGGGGTAAGTAGTGAAAGAAAATTCGAAAGTAAAGCTTCTGAGTTGTCTTTTTTAGCTATGGCTAACGATCAGAATTTTCTATCTTAATTTCCGGTTTTAATTTCTTTGAGTAAGTTTTTTATACGTTTCTTTTATGTATAGTTCAGTTAGGTTACTTTGTTATACGGTTTTGTATGTATTTCTGGATGTAAATATAATATGACTGGTTATTTGACTCTTTTGATACTTTTATGACTTTATTTTTGCGTTTGTTTGAACCAAATTTGATAATTATAGTGTTTATTATCCGATCTTAATTTTCTGATTTTTTTTATTTGATGAAATTCTGATAAATTTTTCAGAATATTATGAGATTTTTGTTTCTTCTTTTCTATATATGTCAGTCTGTGTGATTCGATGTTGGCGCAGTAGGTGATCAGAAAATTTGTCTAAAGTTTTGTGATTCTCTTGAGCATATGGTTTTTTTTTTTGTTAAAATTTATTTTCACGATCTAACAGTGTGTGCTTTCTGTTTGATCAGGTAAACTTTTGATGAACTTTTCGGGAGACTGCCGTTGTATGTAGTGAATTATACTGCACTTGAATTTTGTTTTCATCTTCAGTTTTTCTATAGTTATATATAGTAATTAATAATTTTGGATGTTATTTAATAATTTTTTTGGCTCACTTTTGACCAGGTGTAGATACTGAAAGGCCGAGAACTCAATTCTGACTATTAATATTGGATTGGATGCTCGGAGATTTTGTTTCTTTCTATTCTGGTGCTGTGTTATTTGTTTGGCAATTTTTTTCATTTCTGTGATAAAAGTCTGATTCACATCAGAAAAGATGGCGAAATTGTCGCAGTCTGATTCTAGACGGATGTACTCGTGGTGGTGGGACAGCCATATTAGCCCAAAAAATTCAAAATGGCTTCAGGAGAATCTCACAGGTATAGCTTAGATTTCAAATTGATCTTTCAGGAGAAGAAATTACTATTATCTACTCTATTTTCTTTCAATTGTACGATTTAGAAAGATGAACATTTGCTGTTTGCACATACTTTGTAAGTTTGCAAGTACACCAACAGAAAACATCAACTAAGAATAGAGTAAATTAAAATCACGAGCCAGATTATCAAGACCTGATTTCCTGATTGTATGTTTGCTTGCTAATGAAATTAATGCTGGATTGACAAATTTGATTCTACGAACCTACAAAATGTAGAAGAATTGGAGTTGGGAGGTATATGCTGCTCAGCCATCAGTTTTGTTCTTTTCTTCATCTGCTATCAATTGGATAAAGGAAATCACATACTTCCTTTTCTTGTACGTCATGACACTCAAGTCCCATTAACAGGGGTGTATAAGTTTTGCAATGCAAGTCATCAGGAGAAAAGTTGCAGAACCTTGGTCTTCAAATTGATTGCCAGATTATATGTAGTGAATTGAATTGGATTGTCTATGCTTGAATGATTATGTGTGTCTTGCTGGGGCTCTCTAATGAAAATTTTATAATACTTTCAACAGATATGGATTCCAAAGTCAAAACAATGATCAAGCTC